GATTTAGACACAAAACCATTATAGATGTCAAAAAGCCACAACTGAAAATAAATAAATAAATAAATAAATAAGTAAATAAATAAATAAATGTATTGCTTTTTAGCTATTTTATTTTCAAAAAATAAGGAAAGTTAGTAGTCTTATCAGTATGACCAAAGGAGTGTGTGGGGAGGGGGCTGTGGATGGATATCCTTATCATATGGCCCTAGCTAATAAACTGTGTTTTAGATTGCAATTCACAGTTCTCTAACATAGCTTCTTTTTTATATCAGGGCGCCTTAAAGAGATTTTTCTTTTGGCAAGGGACTGTAATTTGGATAATATTTTGCAGGAATTGTCTTTCTGCATAAATTAAAAACAACTTTGTCTTTAGGATCTGCCAATACCTAGTTTTGGCTTCTTATGCCTCTATTAATGGTTGTATTTGCAATTGCAGGACCAGACCCATTGTACTCTTGTAATCAGTCCTGGAAAATACCCTGAATCACTTCATCATTAGAATAGCTATAAAATAACAGAGAAAAAAAGGGCTTTAATCAACTCAAGACATTTTATCTAAAATAGTGTAGTTGTAGATTCATATTTTTCTTGTCTTTTTCAAGCAGATATTTCCATTTCCTTCAGAAAAGTTACGCATATGTGCTAAAAAAGCAGGGCTCTGGGACTTGCTTCTGCTGTCCGGGACTGGCAATGGACAATGGAAAACTTTCATTTAAATTTAATGTGAGCTGGACCAGACCTCAGAGTGAAAATCCTAATGCCACAGATTCTCTTTCCAACTTCAAAAGACAAAAGATATCTCTTTTCCATCTTTCCTTCTACCCTCCCATGCCCGCACTCATGCATTACAGAGCTGCAGAATGACTGGTTTCTGTAACATGTTAAATAGGAGGAGGAAAGGGAACATTCAGAAGAAAACTAGGTGTTTGGGACTTTCTTCAACCCATGATTAATGTCAAGAGATTTTTCTTAGCATTAGTGTCAGTGCTAGCCAGGAAAAATGATCCCATTAAAGGCCCCCTCATGAATAATTCATGAGGCCCAATTTAGTGTTAGTATTGGGGGTGAGAAATAAACAGGTGATAGAGTTTGCAGGGAAAACATTGCACTTGGCATGGTATTTTGTTGTTATTAATACTGTGGTGCTTTTTTTTTTTTTTTTTTTTATACATCTGTATGTGCATTGGGGGGAGGAAGCATAACATGTTTTTTAAAACTCAGGTTACTGTTCAACTTTGAATTGAGGATCTATGTGGTCTGTATTTCCAAATCATTAGTGATGAGCGATTCCCCCTAAGTGCATTAAGGTAGAAAGCTCCATAGACATGCCAGTAATTTAGGGGCTGTGTTTGGCAACAGGATTCCTCACTTCTCTGGTGTTCTCTTTTAAGTCCATCGTGAGTATAAAAGAATAGTTACTGAATGTAGCAATTAAGGGAGTATTTTTCCTCCTCAAATTAAAAGTTACATTTTTGCAATAATTGCAGTAGTTGAATAATTTATGTCCATTTAAATGGAATAGCACTTAGCACTGATGTTTACTGAAAACCCTTTTGTGTTTAATGTAAAAAGGTGACAACAGAAATGGTATAGAAGAGGTGCAGGAAGTGCTGTGAGTATGAGATTATTACTGTTCCTGTGCAAATCATCAGGCTTTAAACTACATTTTACTTTAAATTATAGCACTAGTAGATATATTCCAGCTAAATTAAAGTAACTGGAGATGATGCTGGGGCTGGCTGAGTCACTATTAGCTGGTCACACAGAAAGTTCCTCGTAAGGAACCTTTAATTTAAGTAATATGTCCTGCTGCTCAATGTGCATTTAGAAAACCAAAAGGAGAAGAGGTGCACAAAGCTGTATGTGTATCTATAATGTGACTGGTGTTGGTGTTGTGCACTTTCTGTGCTGCCCCTTGTAAAGCCAGGCACAATTAAAAACTTTGTGTCTGCACTGTGCAATTGCTCTGCCTCTTTCTTTCTGAGCAAGCTAATTATGGGGAAAAGGCTACCAGCCACTCAAAGGTTTTGTTTTGTACTGTATGTTTGCAGTTCTCACTTTTAGTTAGAAACACCAATAGAAAGAGAGGAATTTTAATTCCCTGGCATCTCTGAAAGTATAATGTTGTAGTTGGATGTTTGCATGTTTGCTGGGCTTGGCAACATGAGTGTTTCCAATTTACCATATCAATTTTTGCATCCAGACGTAAGATATGATTCTGATTTGCATCACTATAATTCAATTGCTACTTCCAAGTTATAAGAAAGGCAAGTGAGATCAGCATCAGGCCTCCTGGGTTTATTCTGATAAATGTTTACTGAAGATTGAATTCTACCAAAATGACACTAGGATTTTACTCTAAATTAAAATTATGTCATTGGACTTGTGGCCTCTATTGCCAAGATCTGTGAGCTGTCAATCCCAGATGCTCATTCCCATGCATTGGCTACAGTTTGCATGGTTGAACTGGTTTAATCCAAAACTAGGATGTCTCCACCAGTGAGTGATTGGCCTAGAGGCATGAAGTGACAGGACAGTACTTCAAAATTAATTTACTTAAGTGATGTTGCTGGTCTTTCTAGAGTGGTCACCTCTGTGGGACATTGGTTTTGTAAGCTAAATGCACATTTCTCAGTGTATAATAATCACTATCCCCTTAAGCCCCATAGGGCGACACAAATCCACTTTAAAAAAATTCTGTAATGACATGTCCATGCATACGATAGTTCAAATTCCTATAGTAGAAACACTGTCAACTCCTCAAGTTTTTGTTCTTGAAAACAATACTGATATATCCAGTCTGTAAGAAAAAAATATATATATAAAGTTGTATTTGTATAACTGTGCTTCATGATCACTGCAAAGGTTGTGCAAATAAAAATATTCTCTGCTTTGAAATTTCTGTTCTGCCAACAAAGTGGATAAACATAAGTGAAAAGCTACCTTGTGATAAAGATCCTTTATCACATCACAAATATCATTCATTGAAGTGAATGATAAACCACACACAGAATAGCCTGTTTAAAACACCAGGCTGAAAATGTAAGAACCTCATTTTAAAATTCTGTACCCTAGTCAAACAGTGCTCAGCTGTAGAAAATATGGTGTCATGCTGATGCCAAGAGAGAGTTTTCTTTTTACCTGTGTTCCTTAAGCCACCTTTGGGATTCAGCTCACTGCTCTGCAGGAGTAAGGATTGGGATAAGGGATTCCTATTCCTTCTCTAGACTTTTGAAGGTTACTCCTGCTGCAATGATCTTGGTCAAATATTACCAGGGACTCAAACTTGAGTTTACTTGGATAAGTCTGTGGATTTGTTGACAAGCTAAAATTGTGACAGGGACACAACTATGACAGGAACATTCTGCCCCATGAAACTGCAAGTCAACGCAGTGCTTACAGTTTTACCCTGAGGAAGCAGCGATGAACAAGTATGGTCAAAGAGGCTGGTTGTTTCCTTCATTCCTCATGGTGAGAACAAGGTCTTGCGAGAAGGGAATAGGAAAGATCCAACTTTCAGCATGGGGATGGTCTGAGTGTCTCCATTCCTGCCTTTAAGACATTACAGGCTGCTGGGAAAGTATTTTCTATGATGAAGTGCCATTCCTGAGGTGGGAAGGATGTGAGAAGGATGGAATTCTGATTCTGATTCTGAAGACTGGCATTTGATCATACCTTTCACTTCTATTGGATGACTGTGTAGCCCTGTTGGAAAAAATATATGTGTGTACATTCACACACGTGTACATTCAGTTCTTCAGGTAGTCGATAGCCATTTAGACTGCATGCTGTGTGTGTTTTTCAGGTATCAGAAATATACACTTTTGGAAGTTTGGGAGTGTGTGCTTTCTGTTGCAGTTTTTGAGGTGCTACATAAACATTGTTCTATAAAAAATCTTTTACCTTGGCTTATGCTTGGCACCAATTTACATTGTAATATTACTGACATTGCCATTTAATTTGCCTAGTTGCCTATGGTCTAAGTGTAGGTAATTTACAAACCTTTAACAATGTTCAGCTTTCCTAAATGGTAGGGAGAACGGCAATTACACTTAAAATGCACTGGTGCACTATGTGTCAGCAAAAAAGGACCTACAAAAGACATAATTACAATGTAATTGCCCACAAGTTCATGAAGTAAACATACATTATTAGAAGGCACTCATCTATTCAATTTAAGTGACATTACAGATAACATATTGCATAAATAGGAAGCCATTTTGTGACTAGTTAGTATAATAATAGGAGTTGAAATTAAAATGTGGTATATGTATTCCTAAGAGCACTTCAAGCTCGGCATCTGCTCTGTAGTGCCTTGCATTATGCTTCATTTACAGTTTTAAGCATTTGAATATTCTTTAAAGGTGTACACCAATAAATAATGGCATTAATAGGTAATCCCCTAAAAATGTAAAAATATAAATAGTTCCATACAAATGTTTAGGCTGCCTAAGGCTATTTTTACCCAATTAAAATTTCAAATTTCAGAAGCAGGAAATAGTCAGAGGTGGCAGGGAAATTTTTCAGTTGTTGTCTTTGATAAGCAAAATTGGTCAAAACTATGCAAAATTCAAGGTTTCTTTCAACTTTGATTATATGAACATCACTGAAACAGAAGCAGTGTTAATGACCTCCATACCCCATTCCAGATGTACTTTCAAGGGTAACCGTCATCATCTTGCCTCTGCTTGGTGCGGCCTGTGGTCATCCCATATTGCACCAGATAGAGAATCTAAGGTGTCTTCAAACTTCGGTTTTGGAGGAATAAAACTACACCCTGAACCACAAATTTTTGAGATTTGTGGCTTGAATTTGACCTTGTACCTTTTTAATAAATAACAGTTGAATATGTATGTAGATTAGGTTTGGACACTTGAAGTAAATGACCCCTCTGTATCAAATTCATGCTGAACTTGCCCCCTTGTGCCTGATGATTTCTGGCATGGTAAGATTTACATGGATTTAAGGCAAGTAACCAGTTTATTCTCATGAAATCTCAGGAACATCTGGTGCCACCATATTGTCCAGAACCTCATGAAGTGCACCTGCCCAGAAGAAACATCTGGCTCCATCTCAGCAAGGGAACAGAGCCAGAATGGTGAGTTTGGGACCTATATCTTTACCAAAAACGAAGTTGTCCACTTAGATTATACTCGTGTTTTTAAGGACCTAATTAATGTTAGGAAAAAATAAAAAAATAAAAAAAAAGAAAAAGAAAAAGAAAAAAAAAAAACAAAAAAAAAAGCCTTATTTTTAAAGCTTTTATTTATTCTCAAGGTCTTTCACTGCCTCCCCAGTGAAAAACATTATTCCCCTTGAAACTCAGGCAAATGTGTGAAGGCTGCTGGAGCCAACTATTTAATGTTTTACTTTTCTTGTGAGATCTTACAAGTGGTCTGACACAGTGTAGGTCCATAGTGGATTGTTTACTTTTAATTTGCTCATAACTGCCTTCCTCACCAACTTTTACAAACAACATGGTATCATAGATTTTCACTTGGGATTCCTCTCTGTTGAACACAGCTCAGATTATTATTACTATTATTATTATTATTTATTTTATTTACCTCTTTGACTAGATAAATATAATAGTGAATTACAAGCTTGTTAAGCATTTCCTTTTGGAAAACATAGTCTGAAACTATATATTGTACCAAGGCTCAACCTAAATTGGTTTAATTCCTTGTACCTGCTGTGTAGTTAGATGAGATCAACTAGACAGACCTTTCCCATTGGTTAAAGGTCAAAAATAGCCTAAAGACATGTTGTTTACAGCACATCATATTGAGAAATATACTTTTCATAGAAGGCATGACCATATTTTCATTAGCAGTGATAAAAACCTTTAACAGCTCTGTGGGTATAATTATAGAGAATTACTTTTAATCACAAACTTATTTCAAGACATTCTAGAAGAAATTTTCATTATTATTTTGCAATAATTATTACTGGATTACATAAAACATTTTGTTTCCCGGTATTCTGGTACATTTTAGAAACCCTGGACACTTATGAGTCAGTAAGAGTCATATTTTATTGACATCTATGTAACAGTAAATAACTTCACGTGTGTCTGTCCCTATGCAAAATTAGAATGTAGTTGCTGATGGCTGAAATGACAAATAACATTGTTTTGTGGGTTTTGGCATGTGTTTTTTTGTTTGTTTGGGTTTTTAATTAATGTAAGATGCCAAGATGGAAACTAATCAGTTAATTTAAACTTTTCAGATTAGTTCTCTTGAAAAGTAATTATTTTATTGATAATTTTTAGAGTTTTTATAAGGAACTTTTGTAAATGTTTTTTAATCTTTGTTTTTTAGAACTGAATAATAAACAAAGATTTAGTGCATCTTCTTGAAGAATATGAGATTTTTAAAAGATCAAGTTAAAGCACAAGAAAGATTAAGACTGGGTTTCTGCTTTGTTTGTTTGTTTTTGTGATGATGGCTTCAACTGACCTAACTGGGATTCAGAGGTCTTTGAAATATTGATATCATATCTTCAGATATTGATATTAGTTTTTATTTTTTTAGGAAAAGTCCTCAATATCCTTTGCTAAGTAATGCAAAGCTAGCAGGAATGCACAGCGAGGACTTTAGCATTGGGTTTTTTGCTTAGTATGCATAGTTTCCTGGGAAAATATTTATTTTTATATTTTCTATACGAGAGGCATGATAGATTTTTCACTTTTCTTTTATCCTTTCTTTTATACTGGAGAGCAAATGCTCATATTTTACTTCAAAGTGGTTTATATGGGTATACCAAAACAAATGAGAGTTTTCTTGACTCATCTAGGGTGGGAAAAAGCTTTTTATTAAATATTTTTGTGTTGACAGTTTCAAAAAAAACCACATATTTTTTATTTTAGAAGTCCTGTTCATTGGTGGGTGATTCGCTCATCAAGTAGGCCTTTCATTCAGGTGGGAGAACCAGAAAAGACTCAAAATTGAGGTTTAAGTATTATTTATTTCTTTAAACTTTCATAAATCATTTTTTTTTATGTTTAGTGTCTATACATGAACTGGAATTTATGGAAGCCATGAAAGCTAATCATATGCTATGGTTCAATGGACCTGGAGTTAGAAGCTTGTATTCCTTCCATAGCTGGGTAAGAGATGGGCCTTTCCAGGGCAGGATTCATGAAAGATGAAAGGTAAATAATTATAGTTGTTTTTTTTGTTTGTTTGTTTGTTTTTTTTTTCAGGGAAAAAGGCTGCTAGAATGGACCATATCAAATTACATTACTGGTAGTGAGATTTATGCCTATAAGACACAAAAACGATGAAGGTTTTCAGTGAGGTATTCAGTGAGGTATATGATAGATAGCATGCAAATGATGAGTTTCACAGTCAATAACCTATAAAGTCCAAATGCAACTTCTGAATTAAAAATTGACACAAATTTCTCAAAAATGCAGACATTGTTCTGTTGTGTTGACATCCTCCCAACAGCCATATCTGTTCTCACAAGTCATATCTGAGAAGAGGAAATAACATTTTCAGTTTTACATGGCTTGACATCTTCAGAAAACTTGACAGGGGAAGATCTGGTAATTCTATAATTTACAGCATTAGATAATTAAAGCACTAAAGAGGAGGGAAAAAAAAACAACAACAAAATGATGATGAACAGTGACTTTCAGACATTTGTGATGACACATGTACCTCTTACGTGAAATTCCTTGAGTTTTCATAAAAGTTATGTGCCTTGAAAAGCCTGATTTTATTACAGATCATTAGCATTACATCTGAACTGCCTTTAGGAGAGCTCTTAACTCCAATGATCTTCAACCAGCTACTTGACAACACACCCTTACCTGTTGACTTTTGAGGTGCTTTGGCTAATTATGGTTACCTAATTTGTGTGTGCTTTTGTTGCTATTGGAAACTACCAACATCCTGACATGTAAGCCCAAAGTCAATGGTAATGCTATTGATAATATATTAAATTCAATTTTGTCCTTAATTTTTCTTGGTTTACCTGTTTATATGATCACATGACAAAAATTTTGTTGCATATTTTAAAAGAGTGCTAAATGGAATGAGTGTATCTTAACCATTCAGCAGGTGAAGAGTATGTGTCTAATATGGACAGCAGAGTCCATGTTTGTATTTTATATGACAAGAAGCAGTAACTTGGTAATTAAGTAAATATTGTAATAAGTATGTCTCTGACATCCACTTGAAGCTTATAACTCCCCAGGGAACAGATGCTTAATTTGTAGCCATGATAATAACAACCTAATGAACCTCTCATCTTACTGGATAGCTTAATAAACTTCAAAGAAAACAAAACAAGAATGTATGAGTAAAAGTACATCCTTAGCTTTTCATTAAACAAAATGAGCATGAGTCAAGGCCCAGCATGGCTTCCAAAGTTAAAGCTACCAACTACAAAGCAAATATATGCAGAGAAATGTACAACAAAAGACATAGCTTTCAAACCTCCAGTTGAGTTTCCATAAATGTTGCTTACAAAAGCTACCATTCTCTATGTTAACAAAAAGTTGTGGATATGTTCTTCACTAAATCCTCTTTTCTCATATAATCCACCTTGTGCACTTTATCTCAAGTGTGTTTTATCTGATCTAATCCTGGGCTCATTCATTCTCAGATAGAAGCAACAGGATTATTTCACGCTTAAACTAGGCCCAATCTTTCTGTGGGTCCCTAAGAGGACACCTGGGTAATGAGAAATTATCTATGGAACAAAAGATTAAACAGGTGCTAGGAAAAAATATTTCAAATGTAGCAAATTTGAAGGAAAAGATAAAACATTGTTATTCAGAAAAAATGTTCTTAGGAGACACGGCATTTAAAAGACTTGGTCTTGTACCATACTTAGTACCAATATTACTTGGCATGAGTTATATTAGAAAAAAAATACCTGTTTCAGTCACCCTAAAGTGACACTGATTTCCCTGGAATTAATCTGGATTTCAGTGGGTGTAAAGTCTGCAGTATACAGGATATATCAGAGCATTAGTTTCAATCAGGTCAAAGAGACTAGCTTATATCCAGTCATATTTTTCTTCGTTGTTGTACCAGCTCTTAGCTTAGCATGCTTTCAGTTGGGGGTTGTTGAAAGAGGGAGTCTTCATGACTCAGTAAATTAATTTCAAGGCTTTTTGTTTGTTTGTTTTGTTTTGTTTTGTTTTGTTTTGTTCCACAGTGGGAAAGACAACTTAGAAATAAAATCAAAGCCCTCCACTTCCCCGAAGCTGTGGGACAGGGATTAATGAACCAAGTTCAGCCTCCTTTGCTTTATTCAGCAGAAACAGTAGAGAAAATAAAATGTGCAAAAATATATCTATATATATTTCTTCTATAACTTTGCCTGTATCTATGTGTCTATGTCTGTGCATCTTCTTTGGCTCTTAGAGACCTCAGGATCATCTCAAATAATGCCATCTGTCTGTATACCAGACTCTTGATGCTAGATGTCAAGCCAGAGCAACAATTTACTGTTTTAAAACAAAGGACCTCTTCCTTGGAACTGGTAAAGTATGCCATTATTTTCCAATCATTCCCTACTTCCCTTTTATCATCAGCCTCCTCATGGACCAAGTGTATAACAGCAGAGAATTTGTCCTTTAATTCTATGAGCACAGTGAGACTGTTGACTGATGATTCAACTTGCTGAGTGGTGGTCCTTTGAGTTTTCTTCTCTCCAAAGAATTGTGACAAAAATACAGTATGTAAATAGTTTCACAGCTTTCAAATGAGTATATTACTGAATTAGTACACTACAGATTAAAAGAAGATACACATTAGTAAAAGAAAAAAAGAATTGCCAAGTCTCGGGATACAAGCTAATCTTCCGCTTAATTGGCTAATAGCGAAGAAAAGTTCAGTAGGTTATGATACAGCTGCACAGTGTATGTTTTTTGTTGTTGTTTTGTGTGTTTGTTTGTTTGTTTCTTTGTAATGTCTGGTACTAGGTGATATGAGTCCGAACAAAAGATTGAAAACAAATGCAGAATTTTTATAGTCTGTATCTTGCTCAGGTGTAAAGATGGATTTGGAGCTGGCCTTGCAATAGGGATGGAGAGCTCTTGTGCTCTAAGAAAAGAATGTTTATTAACCTTAATTATGTGGGTATTTCCATTTATTTTTGAAAAAATATTACTTAAATAGAGCTATGCTTTTAAAAAATCCTTAATCTGTATACAGAAGGTATATGACTGTAAGGCTTTAGGCACAAAAATAAATGCTGAAATGACAGACATTTCAAGCAAATGAATTTCATGAAATGTAACCTAACTTTCTTGACATTTTCTTAAAGTTCCAAAAATATAGAAAATGAGAAGGGAAAATCAGAAAATGTTTCACTAGGACAAAAATCAGCCTTAAGTGCTCAAGTCTCAACAGAAAAAAAAGACTATATGCTAAGAACAGTAATTTGTGTATCAGTTACTTTTCTTTTTTAATTAAATAACAATAAAAAATTGGATGTTTCTCTTGAAACAGTGCAACTGACTAAAGACAATAATTCTTGTCGCTATGGCTGAAAATAATTCTTTAAAACAGTGGTTCAGAAGAATCATGACAATAGATATTGCATTCCTAGATTAATTTATTTTGATTAATTATAAATGATTTACTCTTCTGTAAAATGCCCCTCCACCCACATAAGCACACCTACTTATTGTTTGTATTTGAAGCTTAGGAAATCAAAAATGACATGCAAAGTGTTTCAAGGATAAATCAGACAGATGTGTATATATGAGTGTATATATACATATGAAATATGTATACATACATATATACACCTGTATGTTATACCCCATCTATCACTATAGTGAGCTTTTTGCTCTTCTTACCAATAGATAGTGGTAATTATCTGCGTATACATACATGTATGAAAAAGGGAGAACAGATGTCCATGATTATGTAAGTTATGGTAATTAACAGTACATAAATGAATCAAATTTCTTTTTGTTGGTGTCACTTGCACACTGCTCCTCTTGAGCATTGGGTTACATCCTGTACACGATCGCCTTATTGTCTACTGTCATAAAAATTCCAGTTTTGTTTCTGAGCAGTCACAGAATGGGACTTGCCAGCTGTCATGGAAAATGTATTCAGTTTTGTTTCCACTTAATTTATCTAATCTTAATTCTATTATTATTTTATTATAATTATTTAAATGCTTGGGGCAACAATTTAAAGTAAAAACAAATAAACAGTAGGAGATCCAGATAATTTGTAAATGATCTGAAAGGTCTAATGGAAACAACATCATTATTGCAGTTTTATTTTTTGAAAGGTCAATATTATAGAAGCTTCATCATTGCTGCTATAGTTAACAGTCTGTCAACATTGACATGTAAAATTCCCACTTCATGAGATGAATGGCTAAACTATAAAAACTCACTTTGGACAGGAAAAAAAAAAAAGTTGTGAAATAGTGTTTAGATGTTCAAAACCTTGTAACTACAGGCCTGATATCATCCTCATTTTTAGTGCTATAAACTTGAAACACAGGAGAGCATTCAAGACCATTCCTGTTCTGATCAGCACTTTCATGTAAGGGAACATGCTAGCTTCCTCAACCGCAATGCAATCCAAATGCAGGCTTAAAGGTCCGACAATCCAAGTGTTGCATCAAACTACGAACTTGTGGATTGTTCTCCTGGGCTCTGCTGCTCATCTCACTTCAATCCCTTCAGCAAAAACTGTGAGTAGCTGCATTCAGAGCAGTGCAAAGCAATTGTCTCACATATGAAGCATGGCTTTGTAGGGTTTTAAGTTTAATTACAACCTTTAGCTTCCATTTATTTTCTGACCCCAGTCACTGTTGCTGTCACAAATGTGAAACCCACCATGTCTACTGAGTTTGTGTAACCACAGAGTCCTCATTACTCATTTTACTTCATCACCTTTCTTGTCTTGCCTTGATCCTCTCCATAACATGGTGTCATGGTTCTGCTTGAGTGGGCAGCCGAGCTCCACCACAGCCGCTCTCTCACTCCCCCTCCTCAGAGAGGAATGGGGAGAAAATATGTGAAAAGGGCTCAAAGGTTGAGATAAGGACGAGAAAATCACGCAGTAATTATTGTTAACAGGCAAAACAGACTCGGCATAGGGAGATAGTAAGATTTATTGCTTATTACTAACAAGCTAGAGAAGTGAGAAACAAAGGAAAGAAACCAAAAGCACCTTCCCCCCCATCTACCCTCTTCCACCTCCTCTCCCCGAACGGCGCAGGGGAACGGGGGAATGGGGGTTATGGTCAGTCTACAGCACTTCTTCTCTGCTGCTCCTTCTCGGTCACTCTCGTCCCCTGTGCTGTGGGGTCCCACTCACGGGATACAGTCCTTAATGAACTGATCCGGCGTGGGCTTCCCACAGGCAGCAGCTCTTCCAGAACTGCTCCAGATATGGGTCCGTGCCACAGGGTCCATCCCTCAGGAGCAAACTGCTCCAACCTGGCTCCGCCATGGGCGGCAGCTCCTGCCAGGTCACCTGCTCCTGCGTAGTCTCCTCTCCACGGGCTATAGGTCTCGCCTGGAATCTGCTCTGGCAGGGGTCTTCCACAGGCAGCAGCCTCCATCGGTGCAGGGCCACCTGCTCCACCATGGTCTCCTCCACGGGCTGCAGCGTGGAACCCTTCTCCACTGTGGTACTCCATGGGCTGGAGGGGGACATCCTGCTTCACCGTGGTCCTCACCACAGGCCGCTGGGGACTTCTGCTCCGGCACCTGGAGCACCTCTCCCCCTCCTTCTGCACTGACCTTGGCACCTGCAAGGCTGTTCCTCACTCCTCTCACTCTCCCAGCTGCTGTGTGGTGCAGCGTTTTTTTCCCTGTCTTAAATATGCTCTCACAGAGGTGCAAAACAACATCACTTATTGGCTTGGCTCTGGTCAGCAGTGGGGCCCTTACCAAACATGGGGCAGCTTCTAGATCCTTCTCACAGAAACCATCCCTATGGCCCCCTGCTACCAAAACCTTGCCACGTAAACCCACTACACATGGCTGGTGTCGGGTGGCTTTCTGCATAATTAGGTTTCTTGCTTTTTCTTTCTAATGGAATGAGTTATTTATTTCTGATGTTTCAATCTTGTTTTAAAACTTCTTTTCTTCACTTTCATTTATTTTTCTTTTATTATTCAGCCTTTAGATAACATGATACGTTTCACTGTACTTACATGGTTAAACTACATAATAAAAATATATAAAAACAAATTAAAAATTAAGGAATGGTAATGTACAATTTTAAGCCTATTCTAGATATGTCAGGTAGAAATCATGATTCAAGCTTTCCATTGGACACAATCACATAGTGTTGTAGATTCATCTGTTGTGTAATAAGACATTTAATTTAAATAACATATTACTGTAAAGTAGCCTGAGCCTGATCTACCCATCGCTTAAGGCTTTCTATTGTTGTATATGGAGTGGTAATTCGTGTAGAGAAAATGGTTGATATTAATAAAAAAGGGGGAGATTTGGGAATGTGGCCATGGGGGTTGGAAAGCCCCGTGGTTGACATAACATTAGACTCTTAACGACGAGGCCATCAGGAATATAAAAGAGTTTAGAGGGAACAAAGAAGGGTGATTCAGGAGACTCCATGCAGTCTGGGGTTTCTTGTTCTCCAGCTGTTTCTCTTGTTCTCCAGCCATTAAGGCATGGATTTTTCTGTGTGTTTGCTGTTGTTGTTACATTCAAAGTTGTCTGACCAATGAAAAGTTGTTTGGAAAAGAACTGTTGTGGAGAGAAGGGTATAAGAGGGGAGCCTGCCCTCAAGATAAAAAGAAAAAGGCAGCACCATGAAGTTACATCAATAAAGAAGCAGGAAAAAGGAGTGCAGAGGAACAGGCTGGCAGAATGGAGACCAGGACGGGAACAGACACTTTGCCTCATAAAGATGGGTTCGGCCAAACTCAGCAAACCGCTCAGAGAAGCTCGTACAGAAAGTCACTGGAAACAGGTGCACTGGAGCTGGAGAGAAGCTCGAGCTGAGAGGAGCGGACCTGTGCACACAACTGCCTCTCGCTGGTAAGCAGTTGTGCATTATGGGGAATCATATGTCCTTAGGAACAAAGACTGTCCTGGTAACCTTACAGCTTATTCTCCTTATTAACAATTGGACAGTTTATGAACCTGAAATATGGGACCAAACTGAGGTCAAGGTGTGGGACACTGCAACTAAAAACGACAAGGTTGCAGTGGGATTGCTCGGCACCTGGCGAGCAATCTCTGAGGCCTTAAAGAGCCATGTGGAGCCACAATCACAAACGTGTGGCTTGCCAGATAGTGAGGGAGCTGCAGGCTCCTTTACTGATCTGACTGCTATGCCATGGGCCCCTCTGCTGCTGCAGCCATCGAAGGCCTTTGCTGTTACGCCCCCTGTTGACCTGAACGTGCCTTTTGACCCAGGCCCTATTGGCCTTGGAAAGGAGATGGATATGCTTTTCTTCGGTCCGGGAAGAACGGGATACATAAGGCCTGAAGAAAAGGAATGGGAAATGGAGACTGTTGTTTGTAATCAAGAAAAGGAATGGAAAATGGAGACTGTTAAGGCATGGAACTTAAAGGATTGTTTGTTACCTTTCCTGAATGTGCATATGTATAGGCATACTCGGGTATAGTATGTAAAGCAATGTTCTGTATATTTAGAATGTTTGATGTTCATGTGTGCGTGTTGGTGGAGTGTAGATTCCCGCACACCCAGCACTGTTTACTTGCCTTTTATAAATATTCTTTTATGTTACCAAATTCAGAGATAACACTTATCATTATCATCAGCACAAGGGGTATTCATTCCTAATTATCACCACAGACATAAAAGTGAATGGCTGAATTAGGTTTAACAAGAATTCAAAAGTTCTGGATTGCATCTCAGCATCTAACTTTTGGGAATTTCAGCAGCATTCAAATCCTTTAAAAAAAAAAAAAAGGATTTTAACTACAGAGAAATGGCTGCAGATAGTGTTCCTTTCTAACATGATTCCTGTCTCCATCCAAGACACACAATTATGGTGCAGGAGAGGGAGCAATTCCAGTGATGATTTCAGAAGCAGTTTATTTAGAAACTGAAACTTGACTTTGTTTTCTGGCAGAAACCAAATGGTTTAGTTTGGTTTGGATGCAGCATTTACAAAGGGTGGGTTGTTTTTCCTTTTTATCTTAGCCTGATTGTGGAAATAGATAAAAATAATATGTCCTGAGAGCAAACAATGATCCAAAACTCATTGCTTGAAATGGCTGACCTTGCTAGGAAGATGTATCCACACAGATGACCATGCCTCCACAAGTAGATAGGAAATCCTGGCAAGTGGCTGGATGTCTGTGTGAATTGATGCAAGGATCTTTGTTCATGCGCTGATCCAGAAGCTGCACGGCACCTGGTAGGTGTGGTTTGCTTGGGGAAGTTTGCTCTGCAAAGCCTGGCCTACCTCTTCTCCTGCTGAAGTTCTTTTGTGGGGAACTGATATTTTGTCTCTCTAAAGGCAAAAGGGAAATGCACAGTGAGACAAAATCTCTGCCCCCTGTAGTGGCAGAGCCCTGGAAGCAGTGATAGTCTGAGGAGCTGGCCTTGGCAGAGCGCCTGGGCAGGTCAGAGCTGTGCTGATGGTCACTCTGCTGATGGGGCTGGAGATTTCATTCCTGACCCCGTTTTCTCATGATGGACACTATGTTTCCTTCTCCAGTTGGCATGAGAAAGCTGTAAGGCACTGACACAGAAATCGCCTTGTAGCTTGATATTAGGAAAGTTTGGAAAATTGACTGCTGCTAAAACAGGAGATATGAAAGTGCCATCTGCAGTTCACTCGTATGGGGCAAATCTCATAGGTCTTACACAGTCAGAACACCCATGGAGCAGGCACAGGCAGAAGCTGACCTGCAGGATAATAGAGATGCATACTGTATGAATCGGAAGTAACACCTGGCCTTTGTCTGGAAAATTACCATTTTTTTAGGCCAGTCTTCAAAGCTGAAAATTTCTTTAGGACTCGAGCCATTGAGGAGGCAGACAAAAGGAAGAGAGTCATGGAGAGGCATGTAAAAGCTGTAGACCCAGCAGAAAGGGCAGGAAGAGGGCTGGGGGAACAGGAGTAAAAACCTCAGTATAAAATTCCAGTTCTTCCTGTGCAGATCAGTTTTGCCAAGGGTGAAAGGAAAATGCATTTCCCAATACATTTAAGTTATTTCATTACACAATTATGTGCTTGCCTAAACTTTAGCCACATACTGTTACCCATCCTTGCAAGTAATCAGGTTTTGGTCTGTGTTTTACAACATATTCTTAGCTTAAACATAAAATACATTCATGTCTATGTGTTCAAATGGGCACAATCATCACATTTTTTACTTTTTTTTTTTTTTCTTCATTCTAGATGTAGGGAATGTATCATTATTGGGTGAACATAGAAACATAGAGAAAGAATGCTTTGCCTTTAGAAACACCCAACATACATTTGCTACTTATGTCTAGTTAAGGCAAAACACCACTTTTTTACATTAGTACTCCAGTTTCCAAACAGATGCACAGCTCATTACACATGGGTGCAAAAGAACAAAATGGAGAGGCGTATGCAGAGTATTTGGAAGTTGCATTCTTACAGATAACCTTATTCTAGTCTGAGACTGATCCAATACAACACAAGAGTAGGCTGAAGTCAATAGAACTACTCAAATGCTTCAAATTTTGCACTTTTTCAAATGCTTATGTTTCTGGATCATGCTTTTGTGAATAATTGGACCCTCAGCTTCTTGGACTTCTTTGTAGAGGCTTAGCAGTCACAAACTGCAAGGTGATCAACAGCCTAATTGTGTGACATCCTTTCCTAAATCAGATTAGTCACAAATGATTATCAATCACAGCCCTAAGATCTTGATGTAGTTTGGAAACATGAGTTTTTGCAAAGGTTATCATGGAGGCCCAATTAAAAAAAAAATAAAATTATGCTAGTTCTGAATATATCTGGTGACACTGCATAACACTACAGAAAATATCAGGGAGAATTTCTGTGTGAAGTTATGATCTTTTAAGAACAAGTCAGCTAGCTGAACCACAGGCTGGAACCTGCT